AGGGGTCTCAGCAGGCCTGTGCAATGACGGGGAGAGGCGGTGAATGTGACAAATCACGCAGACAGCCCACCTGGCATCTGCTGGCCTGGCAGTGTGCTCATGGGATGTAGCAGGAGAGACTGGTCAAAGCGGCTCCTGCCCAAGTTTTTTCTGAAGGAAAACCAAGACACAGTTGCAAATGGGCCAGAGATTTTAATGGAAAAAAAAAATAGAAAAAGTGCAATATTTCATACTATAGCAAATGATTCTGTAAAAAAGATAAATAGGGCTGCACGAAGCATTCATTAAAATAGAAAGATGCAATCTCTTGCACAAGGCGTCTGTCACACGAGGGTGACGTCTAGGACATGTAAACATTGTGGGGTTCTTATTTTTCAGGTGAGCAACAATAACGAACACATCTGAAATCGACTCTGGTTGCCACAATCCATTAATGGCATTCTAAGGCCATTCGTGAAGACGCTCTGCACGGGCTGAAGGCAAGGGGGCGACACGAGGGCTCTCATGGCGGCAGGAGGCTCTGACTCCGCTTCTCCGCGGTCCTGCTGGAATTGTTGGGCTCTGCCGTCTGCTGGGTCCCACACAGGCCTGCGCCTCCACCTCAAAGGGCTTGTTGTCTGCCAGTGGGAGGGCAGGTCCCTGCTGGGCGTGGGGCAGACCATGCCATCCTCCCAGAAGGTGGACCTACTGGTCTCTAGGGCAAGGGGACGCCCCCTTCTTGTGGGACTGTCCTGCCTTCCACCACCCTCCCCCGCAAGAACGGTCTGTCAGGCTTCTGATAGTGTCACCATCAGAACCAAATCCAGGTCCTCTTACCACAGCACACACACAAATGTCCAGCAAAGCAAAAAAAAATAAAAATAAAAGCCCACAGACCCAGCTATCCAGGGAATGCACCCCCTCCCTGCCCAGTGATCCCAAGAGACCACCTCCAACTCCTAGAATAAGCTCCATAAATATATGCTAGTTAATTTTGAGGATGAGTTTGACATCAATTGAAACTTAATTTCTATGTCTAGGGTCACAAAAGATGGGGGGTTTGTTTCTCGTTGATGTCGTGAGGCACAGAATACACATTTGGCTGAAGTTAAAGCTAGACATCTAAAAGGGGTTATCGGCAATCTCTTGGCCTGGTCGGAATAGACTAGAGATTCTTCCTTTTTTTTAATCAAGTCATTGGTTCAAATCTGCTCTCTTTTGATGTCTTTGTTGCTTGTCTCCTATGTGTACTTAGTTGCAAACCTTCTCATCAATGTTTTTGTACATAGGAGTCTGGAGGACCTCTTGGCTGGGATTGATCTCTCCCCCTGTGTGAGGCTGGGGGTCCCCACAGTGTCACCTAGCTCGGTGCAGTCTATCTGGTAGAGAGTTCTGATAAGGCAAAAGTGGGCTGAGATGACCTCGTAAGGGCCTTTCCAGCCCAGAACCAGCTGTCACAATGCTATTTGTGGACTGAATAAACAGATACATAATCAGCCCTTTTCAGGAGTGTCGTCTTCTGAGGAGCCATCAAATTATAGAGAGATCTTGTTAATTGTGGGTCTGCTTCATGGGGTTCCCACTAATCACATTTTTCCTTTCATTATTATTGTTCTACTCAACTTCTAAACTTCAGCTCGAAAACGAAATAATTTGGAGGCAAGTCCTGGTTGCGATCCCCGCTTTCCTGGCCTGGCTTGAGACCTCTCCCATCTCGGAAGCCTGAAGCCAGTGGGCCCTCAGCTAGGGGCCAGAGCCTTAGCCATCTCCTTCAGCAGAGCCTCTCACAAAGGCTGGCCACAGAGGGTCCATGTGCCTGTAGTCTCCAGGGGACCAGGGTGACCCAGCTGCCATTGCTGCACTCAGAATGGGGCCCAATGGGGCTGCCACGCCCCCGCTGCCACTTCACGCCTGGCAGCTGTGTCCTCTCAGGTTGAGAGGTAAGACTCGGGCTCCTCAATGGAAGGTGGGCATTGGAGCTCTGGCAAAGACCCCTGCCCACCATGGTCCAAGCCTCTAGCTCATTAAGAACTTACTGTGGGGACATAAAGAGAGGCCATTTGTATGGGGACCTGTCAAAAGGAGGGTCAAGGAGCTGGGGAGACATGATTTTTCAGAGAGAGGGAGTCTATAGAACAACTCTACCTGGAAAATGGGACATCCCCAAGAGACAGGAGTTGGCCCCCATTTAGCAACGCAGACCTGTGCTGGAAGGACTTGGACCTGCCCTCCCCACACCTCCCACCAAAATGCCAAGAAAGTCTGTTCACAGAGATGCTGGTGTCTTCATCTTCACCAGACGTCTCTGGGAGATACTGCTTCTTTCCTGGCTAGCCCACCTTTATAGAAGGGGACAAGGAGTGACTAGCCAAGACCATGTGACCCATTACATGTATGGAAGGTCCCCATTGTCCCCATTGTCCTTCAGAGGCCAAAGCTATGGCTGAAGATTACAAAAACAAGCATAGCTCTCTAGGTGCTGGAGGCTTCCAAGGTGCCATACTGGGGCCTCCAAAGAGGCAGTTAGGACTCCAAGGTAAAGGGGAAGATGTGCAGATTGAGATCTTCCCCAATAAGTCTCCTTGCCCCTCCCGCACCACCTCCCACCACCCTCCAAACCCATCCCCTCCCCCCCATCCTCCCACCAGAGCCCTTTACCCTGCTGTGGCTGTTACCACACCTAGGGAGGAGGGTGACAGGGAGGCCAAGATTCCTGCTGACCTATGCAATGCCACCCAGCATCAGCAACACCTGGCCAGCCCCAGGAAAACCCCAGGCCCCGCTCGGAGGGTCGGTCACCCAGCGTGTGCAGGGAGGGGTCTAGCCCATCCTTCCGGAGCAGCTCCTGCCATCTGCAGGAAGGCTCAGCCAGAGGGGCCCTTTCACCAGGATGACATATTGGAGTGTCGCCGTCCTGTCGTCCTCAGATCTGCCTCCAGGAAGGGTGACCTGCCTGGGTCACACAGCGTGCACTGCAGAGGGGTCGTGGGCAGGGGCCACTGCAGGCTTCAGAGGGCCCGCACTCTGCAGCCACTCTACTGCAGGTGTATCCTGCAGGCGTCCTGCTAACCCACCAGAGAACATGCTACCACCAGTCTCAGGTGTGCCCTCTGGGTCCACTGGCGTGGAGAAGGCAGGCCTGGGACCAAGGTCTGCATGGTTAGTAGTACCAAAAGCTTAGTCTGCACGTGTCTCCTGTGGGTGGGGTCTTGTCCTGGTGCTTGGCACAGAGCTGGGCTTCGAAACAGGCAAAGGATCTGGCAGGCTTAACAGTCGCCCTTCTGGCTAGCTTGGAAGCTCCTCCTCTCCAACCGTCCCCACAGTGTGAGGCCCCACTTGGTTTCCTCGGAGGTGACACCCCACCCTTCCCCTCTTTTCTTCATGTCCTCTTGTGGGAGGGAGGGCCCCTCCCCTCCCTGCACACTGGAGGACACGCTCTGAAGTCCGAGAGGGAGCCGGCCTGGGAGTTCCAGCTTTTCCACTTTTCCAAGCCTCAGCTGGTGGACCTGCAGAGTGGGGGTGCTCTGGCTGCCCCTCCACCCCCACCCAGCAGGTAGAGCAAGTGCACAGAGGAAACACGGAGTCCAGCACCCGCTGCTCCACATGCTCTTTGTAGTTCAGGCCCCAGTAGAGCAAAGAGCCTGAGGTGAGGTCCCATGCTGGGTCCAGCACCTATGGGTAAAGGGACCTGCACTCCCAGGAAGCAGAGAACCCTGGCACAGTGGCCGGCACAGAAGAGGTGCCCATAGATGGGTTCTCCCGGGTACCCTGTGCAGGAGGGGTTTCTTGTAATCTCCAACTCAAAGGTGGGGAAGGTGGGGCTTGGAGGAGCGAGCTCTGCCTCCTGTGAGTGGCCGAGGTTGGTTCAAGGTGTGAAAGTACCTGGGCCTGAGTAACTCATCATGCTGTTGTCTGGGGGCAAGAGAGGTGGGGTTTGCCTCTCGCAGGGCTCCAGAGCTGGAAGTGGCAGGTTCCACTGAGGCATGGGGTCCCCTCCCACTCATCCCATGTCCCCATGTCCCCATATCACCCAGCCTCCAGCAGAAGAACTGCCATAAGCAAATGGTGTTGACTAGACCCAGTTTCCTGGTAGTGTTCCTGCCACAGGGTTCCCCTCCCACAGGAGAAATGTCCCCAAGAGTGTTCTGCAATCTGAAGGTATTCCAATTGTACCCATGGAGGAAGCTCCCAGTCGTGGGCCACCCGCCATGTGCAACTGACTAGCCAGGGGGGTGAGGCCGGGTCATCTTCTCGGGGATCTGGATTGGTTTCCAGGCATTGTATAGTGTCATGGTTTCCACTTGGGCAATTAAAGGCATGATCATGGGGATGCGTGACCATGGGGACAAGATGTCAGGAGTCTTTTTCCCATGGCTCCCACAATGGCCACTCCTAAGGCTGGGACCATGGGAGGTTTGCTTCTCAGTGTGTTCATCCATGAGAGAGAAGGGACGGGGGAGCTCGGAGGAGGACATCCCGAAGTCTGTCAGGGGTACAGTGGTCAGGAGGGACTTTGACAGGAGGAGCTAGAGGCCCTCGCACCACCCTACAGAGCAAAAGGGAGGCCCCAGCTGGCAGAACCTGAATGGGCATATTTCCCCCATCAAAAGGGAAGGTGAGGTGGACACAGCAGGTAGGTCTCATAAGATCAGATCTAGGAGGGCTGTGCTCTAGAACTTCTCAGAGAGAACCCCTCATAGACCACAGGTGGTAGCCCTTAATGGCCAGGTGGGGCCTGGAGACAAATTCCACTTCTTGGAGGGAAGGGCATGGCCAGCACTGAGCCCACGGAGGAGCCCGGGCAGCTCGCGGGGGCCCTGGCAACACGCATCTCTGGGCTTTCTATTTACAGCTGGGCTACCCCACAGGTGTCTAGGGAAGGTGCTGATGTCAGCCCACACGGAAGAGGTCCCCGGGAGAGGTCAGAAATCTGAAGCCTGCTTGGGCTTCGGCAGTGAGACCCAGCATCCGCGGACGCCTCTTGCAGCTGTAGTTAGCTCCCCTAACAGAGGAAAACAACATTTAATACGACTTATTTATTCACAACGAAAGCAGCGACCACAGAGGTCCCCAGGGAGACAGACATCCAAAGCATGAATCATAGCTACACAACATCAACTCTTTTCTTGCCAACAGTTCCTCAACCTGAGGGAACAAGCAGACAAAAGCAGATCATAGGGCATTCTACAAGACTGTGGGCCTGGGCTCTTCAAAACTATCAATATCAAGAGAGACACAACTGCTGAGGGAGATGCCCTCAATTGGGGGGTTCTGGGACAACAAGACAAGCAAGTGTAGGATGTCATCTTGGGTGGCGTCGAGTTTCACAAAAAGCTCTGCAGGATATTTTTGGGACAGTTGGGAGATTTTTGCATACAGATTTTACTAGGTAATACTGTAAGATACTAAATCTCTCGGGTGTGACAATGGCACTACTATATAGAAGAATGAGCTTGTTCATGGGAGATATACAATGTTTTCTTTGGCTGAATCACCTCACTGTTACAGACATCATGACATTCTGTCCTCCAAACGTCTCTGAGTGTAAGAGTTGAGGGGAAGGTGGCAAAGGGCCGAGGTTAGTGGGTCAGGGCGAGAGGTATCGGGAAGCTCATTATGTTCTTTCAACTTTTCTGTAACTCTGGGATTTTCAAAACAACCTTGGCTGGGAAATCAATTCTACGTTCACTGTCCTGAGGCAGCAGCCTCTATCATGTTGTGGTCAAGACAGAATACCACGGGATGGATTCATGCCCAGCTCTCTGGGAAGCCCAGAATACACTGGGCCTCGGTGCACGTGACCACCACTGCTGTCTGCTATTGCTGTGTCCCTTCATCTTCCCAGCTCTGTCTCCTGCCAAAGGAAAGGATCGTTTGGCTTGCTTTCTGGTGGCTCAACCTTCAATGTGCCCAGAGATCAGATTATCCAGACCAAATGCCTTTGTGGGTCAAGTCCGTTCTGCACCAAGTGCTGTCCCACTGTTGAAGGAGGAAGCTTCAGGGACTCGGAGTGAAATGACTTCCAAGAGCCCACTGAGGCAAGACACGGAAATGGGCCCTGTCCTGCCCCTCTTCCCTCCCCTAGGATGCTCCCAGGGTCTCACAGATACCATGATTCTAGAGGAAACACACTTTAGAAGTGAGTCCCAAGCTGCTTTCAAAACTAAGCCATGACTATGGGTTCAGCAGCCAGCCCACACCTGGGATCTGGCACAGATACTCTCAATCGGGTCCCTGTGCGTAAAGAACAGGGCGCCAGGTGAATCCAGCTCCACCTTTCTTACAGGTGGTTTAATGCGACCTCCTCAGGAGTCTCTTCCAAGTAGCAGTCTGCATCCATTTGCTTCCTCCCCTGGAAGTATGAGGGACGTGGAGTTGCGGGGAGAGGGAGGGTCCCAGGCTGCAAATGACCTGCTATGATCATACTTTCTGGGCAGAGGCTGCCTTGCTTTCAAGATGGAGCAGAAAGAGCAGATCTGGTCCCAGCTATGGGGCTAAGAGGGAATCTCAGAACTCAGAGAGGTTGGTTCACCTCTATGTAAACAAGAGTCTAACAGACTGTTGGTCAGGACAGCACCATCCACCTGGAAGGGGTGCTGCGAGGACCCAAACGGATGCTCGCTAGAAAGCAGTGAGCCCAGGGCTCCAGGGTAATCAATCCAATGTCCACCTTCCTCCTGCCTTTGATGGAGTAAAGATGGATGTCACTTAGTGGAAAAGAGTTCAAGTGAGTCAGAAATCTCAAGTATATACAAGGCATGTAGACGTGAGGGGACCGGAAGGCAAGTCGGCCTCCTACGCCCCTGCTGAGAGGGGGCTCTCCATTCATGCGTCCTAACAGAAGCTGATGCTATGCAAACCCCCAGGGCTGAATTCATCCCCCTTTCTGAATGGGCATGGTCAAGTGGAAGAAGGGAGTAACAATCACTTGGCTGAAAGAAGTTGCCAAGTACAAGGGAGGAAGAGGGGCCAGGCCAGAGAAGTCCAGCAGCAAGGGGTCTTTGGAGGGCTGTGCGGGACGGCAGCAACAAAAGCAGCATGGACCACAGCAGAAAGAGTGCCATGACCTCCGGCGGCTGTGGGCCTGTGTGGCCCAGCTCTCATCTGAAGGAGATCAGCAGGGAGATGCACACTGAGCTTCTGCCCACGCTGGCCATGTGGGGCTCTCGGCCGAGAAGGCCCACTCCCATCCTATCAAGAGAGAAGAGCTCTGGAGATCTCGACGTCCCCTACCCTTTCCCCAGGAGCACATATAGAGTGCACCATGACAGGGAAGAAATGGGCCATCTGCAGGGGAGCAAGCCGTGCTCGCCTGCGTCCCCTGGCCACTCTGGATGTCTAACTGTGAAGAGGGGACCCAGTGCTCCTCCCTCGGGGCTAGCCTGGCAGCAGACTGCAGAAGACACGGGAGGGAAACAGAACCAAGACAGTGTGGAGCTGCCCCTGACCCTTTGGTCGGTGGTCATGACTTGGAGAAAAAAGGCTTCGTCCTACAATCCTAATCCTCCAAAAAGGGAGTCGACTGTGAGAATAGTGTGTTCTACATCTCCTGTCGCTCGAGGCATTCAAGCAAGATGGTCACTGCATGACCACATTATGCAGATGGAAACCAGCTCTGAAGGGGGCGAGCTGACCTCCCTCTGACTCCACAGTGTGGGCCCCTGTGGAGACACAGGCCAGGGTGCCTCACTGGGGGGCTGGGTTAGGATACCTTGGTGTGTGGAGTCAGTGTTGTGGACCTTTCTGAGACTATGGCCTTGGTTCTGTCAAGGATCAACTGATATTGAGCAAATCTTTCACCTCCCTGTGCCACATGAAGATAAGATGATCACACATGCCCCCATTCGAGGGCAAATCTTACAAAGGTTTTCAGGAGAACTCCTACATGTGTCCCATGCAGCGGCCAAGGCAAAAAGCAGTCTGCAAATATGCATTAGTGAGTTCACACCTCTGACCTCCTATAGCCAACAATCCCTTCAGAGAATTCAAGAAGAGTTGTCTATTCTCTGGACAGACTTGAGCACCCTATGCAGGGCGTTCCAGAATCTTAAAGATGAATGAGCCGATAGAGGCCTTGAAGGTTCATAACTGTCAAGTTCGGCCAAGAGAGTCTGAGATTCACAGACTCCTTCTGAAGGTCCTGTGTCCTAGGCGAAGGGGACATTTCAACACGGGACGTAGCATTAGGTGCATGCGTAGCCTTTTCAAAGGAGTCCAAGTGCTCCTGGTTCAGCCCAGTGGCCCACATGCTGGGGCCAGGTGGCATTTGGGTTCGGTCTCCTTTAAGAAGTCCTGTAGGCCAGTGAGCGGGTTCCTTCTGAGCAGTGCAGCGAAGCCCATTTCCATCCAAGAGCCAGGAACTTCCAGTGTACAACAGAGGATTGGGGAGGATGAGTGAATGGGTGACTTTCAGAAATGGCAGGGATGATGATGGAAGAAATCAAAGTCCCCTCAGTGAACACAGAGGTCAAACTGTCCTTATTCCTGCCATCGTAAGGGCCTACCATGTGCCATATTCTCTAGCCTAACGTGTGTCCCCTAAGAGATGAGCATGTCTTCCCTTTGGGTTCACCCCTTATGGAGAGTGGGGAGGAATTCTTCACTGCCTAAACCAAAGCATCCCCTGAGATTGACAAGTTCCCAGTAGGCCAAGATACAGCCTCTAAACTCTTCCTGAGACCAACTTGCACTTTCCCCTATTTACAAATCAAATGCAATTCCAGACAATCTTTCTTGAAATATATAATCTCTCTATATTTTAAGCGAGGAATGCCCTGTCACTTTTTATTAGGAAAAGAAACCACATCCACATACCAATCCCACTCTCATCCAAGCATTCCAGAACTACACTGCTTATCTATGCAGGGAGGTGCCGCACAGAAATCATCGTCCTAGTCATCATCATCGAGCAGAGGGAAATAATAAAATAGATACTCTGGGGTTCCAACCATTTTCAGTTTCCACCGACAATTCCAGCTGCACGGTAAATTGTTGGAACTGGCGATGATAAAACTAAATATCTTTAAGTGGGGGCTTTTGGTCATTCCATTGCTACTTCTGTTGGTAATGCATACCAGTTTCACAAGGTGCGTGCTTTTCAAATTTTTAAACTGGCAAGCTAAAATGATCCATGTCTTCTTGCCCACCCACCCCCTGAAAAAAAGTTAATAACTTGGAACCTATGGTCGTGGCACACCTGGGGTCAAGGCTGCTCATGGAACATGCTTGATTTGGCAAGATGTTAAAAACCTCTTGGGTTTTGTCTTTCCCTTCTGTTTGGAAGCAGCCCAAAGCAGGTTACCAACAAAACATGAGTGAGGGGAGTGGAAAAATGAACCTGACACTTCCCATCTGGTCACACGGTCCACCTGCACATAGAGGCACACACGCTCACACTGCACACGCAGACACAGCCACCCAGTCCTCGGGGAGGAAAAGAGAGAGTTAGTGAGACACGCCTCTAGGGGCGGCAGTCAAAGGCTCTCGGCTTGGTGAGCCACTTCGGGCTGGGTATCCTCAGCTCTGTCTCCGTGCTCTTGGTCTCACACCTGTCCTAGAAAAGCCACCCCGGAGAAAGGGGGCAGGGCGGGGGGGGGGGGGAATATAAGGCATACTTTGCTGGGGAGGAAGGAAGAAATCCATGCTTCATGCTCAGATGCGAGTTTCAGAGAAGGATGGGCCTTTATCTTCCCTTTGGACAGCTCTGCCTGGCTGGAAAGGTGGGGAAGAAAATGAAACCGAGAAAGGAGGGAGGAGAGAAAGGAATGGCGATGACCGTAATCATAACGAAAGGTAATAATAAATAAATAAGGAGGAAAGACGAGTTGAGCCAATGGAACTTACATCCACGTGACAATGACTTCCGATCCTTCCCTCCCCACACTTAGACGGACTTCCGGCGGCGCATCAGCCTGTGGTTGTCGTTGAAGCTGTGCAACCCAGGCGAGACGGAGCTGAGCGGAGACGGCAGGAGGCTGTTCTTCAGGGTGCTCGGCGAGATCTCCTCCATCTTGTAGGAGATGGCGCGCAAGGTGGGGGGCGCGAGCTTGGCACTGACGCTCGGCGGCGCCTGGGGGTCGTAGCAGGCGCAGGAGCACACCACCGACTGCAGCTCGCCGCCCTCGCTCCTGCGGCGCCGTCGCGCGGGCCGCCGCTCCTCCTCGCTGCCGGAGATGTGCGCCACCACCACGCTGTTGCGGTTTTCCGGGGCCGGCTCCCCACCTTCCAGCTCCGGAGGCTGCTCTTCGTCGCTGTTCATGGTCAGGAAGCGGAGGACCACCAGGTTGAGGAAGGCTCCGATGACGGTCAGCCCCACCAGGATGTACATGAAGCTGAAGGCCACGTAGAAAGGCTTCCTCTGCAGGGCACCCTTGGTCTGCAGCGCCACATAGTCCCCGAATCCGATGGTCGTCAAGGTGATGAAGCAGTAGTAGTAGGCGTGGAAGAAGCTCCACTCCTCGCACTGGGAGAAGGCGGCCGCCCCGATGCACAGCGTGCCCATGCAGGAGAAGAAGCCGACGGTCACCATGTTCTCCATGGATACCTCGGTGTTGCGCATGCCGCAGCACTTCTTGATGCGTTTCAGCAGGTAGCGCACGAAGGTGTTCATGCGCTCACCCAGGCTCTGGAACATGACCAACGTCAGGGGGATGCCCAGCACAGCGTAGAACATGCAGAAGGCCTTGCCAGCGTCGGTGCCAGGTGCCGCGTGTCCGTAACCTGCAGGAGGGGTGGGAAGAGCAGAGCGACAGTCAGGAGAGGCCCTGTGCCGTTCGCGTGTACTGGGGTCTGGGATACTCTATTTGGGAGGAGGTTGGCCCACACCCTAAAAGGACAAGGAAAGGTTTGTTAAAGCGACGGAAGGGTTGGGGTGTAGGGGTTGGAGGAATTTCAGTAGGGAGGGGACTTGGAGCATAGGTCAAGCATCCCTAATCCAAAACTGAAATCCAAATGCTCCATGGTCCAAAACTTGGAGCGCTAACGCAATGCCACAAGTAGAACACTGTACAAGATGATATTTTGTTTCATTTATACTTAAAATATTATATAAAATTCAGCCTAAGTGTATAAAGTATAGAAAATATGAATGTCCTGGGTAGGCTAAGATATCTCATTGCATACATGCAAATATCCCAATATCTGAGAAGATTCCAAACCCCGAACACCTCTGGTCCCATTTTGGTTAAGGGATGTTCAACCTATACTGTGACTCAGGACTGAGGAGAATCAACCAGGGTATGTCACTAGTGACTTGACACTGGAAGGGTATATGGGGCATTTCAGTGTTCTCAAAGCAACAGTTTTTAAAAGAAAAAAAAAACATATCTAACTACTAAGAAAAGTGTACAAATACCAAAACCAAGGGAGAAAATGAAGTATTCTCACAACGGCTCGATCCCCAAGAAAAGGGAATATTAAAAGAACCACTGCCACGTGGCAGGGACCATACAGATGCCTGTAACACATGTCACCCCAGCCTAACCTCCTAGTCACCCTAGAAAACAGGCATAATGATCCCCACACTGCTGACAAGAAATCTGGGTTAGTGACTTCATAAGTAGGGTAGGTTGGCTTCTTCAGAATTGGGATTTGAGCCCAGAGTTTTCAGCCTAGAGTGAGGCTAAGAGTAAGAATTTAGAATCGAGAGAGGTGATGCAGACTGCGGCACAATGCCATGGGGAGGAGGCCTTCATCTGTTTTGGTCACTGCTGTATCCCCCATGCCTAGATAATACTTAAAAAGGTAAAATACTCCTCTGATGGAGGCATGAGTACTTCTGCACCACTGTGTGAATGTGGCCTTGATAGGAATGTGGCCTCGAAGGCCCTCCATGTGCAGGAGCTTTGGAAACTCCCGCTGGAACTGTGCAGCATGCCATTCACTGATGCCCTGCTATAACCATGCAAAGTCAGGCCTCTATTTTATTTGCTCCTGTTCAGCATGAGGATGATGGATCTAGAAAGGTAAGGTTGCTGGTTAGGGTCACCTATAGTCAGTGGCAATGTCCAAGCCAGGATATGGTCTGCCCAATATGAGAGAGGAACCTCAGAACCCAGTAGGTTGTAGCTCAAGTTCTGGGATGAATATTGCCCAGAAGAAAACCTGGGCCATGCACAGTATTCAGACTTGGAGTTTGGAGGATAGACCTGGTCTTCCACCATCTCAAGACCTGACCTGTCAAGGAAGGCTTTGCTTATGTTCCCCCAATCACATGATCATTGTCACTCAACCAGCTTCCTTGCCATGGACCCAGAGAATTCCTCCGAACCCAGGTGTCTTCATCTGACACAAATAATAGCAATGTTTCTGGGTGGGTTTGGTGAGAATAAAGAGCAGCTAATCCAATACACAGTAGAGACCTACTGACTTCTAACTGTGAACAATGGAGGCTGGCAAACAGTGGAATCACATCTTCAAAGAGCTAAGAGATTCTTAAACTCAGAATTCTATATCCAAAAAAAAATTACCTTCAGGAATGAAAGCAAAATGAAGACATTTTCAAATTTTTAAAACTGGGATAATTTATTACCAGCAAATCTGCATGGCATGACTACTGAAGGAAGTTGTTCTGTGCAAGCAGGGAGGATACCAGATGGAAATTTAGGTCTTCAGGAAAGAATGAGACACATAGTGGTAAACAAGTAGGTAAATATAAAAAATGCAGGTGGGAATCCCACTGTATTCCACATAGTCACCTGTAGAGCTGATACAAAAGCCAGATGGATGTTGGAGAATAACAGGAAATTGTTAGAAACTTAAATGGCAATGCTAAGAGTTCTGGATGTAACGTCTTTACTGGAAGAAATCGACATAGCATTTTCGGGGTCAAAATTGCACACATCAAAAAAAAAAACAAAAACAAAATTGCACACATCAAGGGCCAGGCTCCTCCACTCCTATGCCTATCAGTAAATAAGATCAGAGCTGTTTGCCTTTACACAGTTTGGACAGCAGTACACCTGCACATCCCATCTCAGGGCTGTGTTTGTCCTGCTGCTATTGTATTACAGAATGGAAGAGCCTGATCATGTTGACACCTCACAGTTCATCTCGCTGGTCCAGGTCCATTACACTGATGCCTTAGTGAGATGCACAAGAAAGCATGGGAGACCAGAACCACCCAAGTTTGGGGCCCTTGAATGCTAATAAATTCCATAGGAGCCCAGTGGTCTGAGAACAGGACCATTTCCTCTAAAATGAGAGATGAGTTGCAGAACTTGCAAGGCCTTCTAGGAGAATGAGGATGTGCAGATCCTCCCCCACCCAGGCGCCCACCTCCACCCTGCACTCTACCCTGCTGTCCAAACTGTCCCCCTGCTCTCTAGTTTCCACTTGATCCATCCAATGGGCAGCCCCAGGGGGAGATCAAAGGAAAGGAGGACCCTGTCCATCAGGAATCATACCACAGAGCTCTCTACAGGTCCTGGTGGCTGGTCCCCAGGTGCCACACCTCACTTTGCTTTCCCCCAACTCTACCCTCCTCGGCCTCTCCCCCCCCATGGGTAATCGGACTCGTCATTTCTGTCGTATCTGGGGCTTGCCTTAGGACCCACTGTGGCCAGAAGATCCTGTTCCTGCTGGCTTATGTGAGATTTCCCAGCAGTGGACAAGCCACTGAGCAGGAAAAGCCGCCTGGCCTTGCTCCCCTCTGAGCAGCATTTCCTTTAAAGAGGCTGTGACTGTCCTGTAGGCCCTCCATACTGGACAAAGGCAGGCTGCAACCAGCCTCACCCCTGACCTACCAGTGTTCAAGAACTGTCCCTGGCTCCTTCCTGCCCCTGGCAACGAGGCCCATCCGCACCTGGCTGTAGGTGATTGTTCCAGACTTCCACACACTTCGCATTGGCCAAGCGCGGATCGTAGTGTGGGCTCCAGAGCTGTGTGGAGGTAGGCCTTGGTGCTCCCGCCTGGCTCCTCGCCCACCCTTTTCCTTCTACTTGGGATGCCCCTGGCCACTACCACATGCAGGTAGCAAGCTCCACTCGTGTCTGAGCCCAGCTCAGAATGCCTTCCCTCATGTCCCTGCTGTCTCCCCCAGAAGCCCTCAAGCCCTGCTCTGAGTCTCCCCTGCAAGGAAGGGTAGTCGAGTAACAAGATCAACTTCCCACGTCAGGTCCGACCGCCACCTTAGTGACTGTGGATCACCTCCCTCCTGTAGCCTCCTCTTTGGTCATGTTTACTGTAACCTCCCAGGGAACCTGGTGTCAGAGAAGGGGTGGTGGCAGTCTCCAGCTCATTGGTGCCAGGGAACAGAATGCCTAGAACAGTCAAGCCCTGAATTCAGGGTCACTAGTCAAAGCCTGAATCATTGAGATTTTTGCTGGAATAAAGTCTTATTCTTTCCTGTCAGAACTTGAAGGGTGCCAGAGTGTGAGATCTGGAGCTGCTGCAGTCATTCCACCATCATAAGGATAACCCCAATCAGAGGAAATTGTCCCTGATATAAAAGATACAGAAGCTATTCCACCTGTGTCTGAGCCCATCCAACAGTCAACCCTATTCACAGAATGTTCCAGTCTATCTCCCAATAAATCTAGCTTCAGACTGTATGGGTTTTTTGTTTTTTTGTTGTTTTTGTTGTGGTGGTGGTTTTGTTGTTGTTTTTGTTTTTTGGTTTGTTTGTTGGTACAGAGGACAGTGTTTTATTACAATTAATACTCAACCAGGAGTGCATGTCCTAATACCTTCGCCTTCCTACAAAGAATCACAGTGTTGCCAACAAAGCCTTCTGTGTCCCCTGCCCCCTGCATCTCATTTGGTTCCTCTTACAGCCCACGTCAGATCTGAGGGGGGATGTGGGTCCAGGAGGTGACCAGTCTGTGGTAGACAGTGGCCAGCTGGACAGCCAGGTCCTGTCAAAGAGCAGCTGCTCCCTGTCCAGCAGCTAAGACTGTGGACTGAGATGGCCCCATTTCCTGAGTTGTAAAGAGAAGCTGGAAATATGGATTTTTAAAATGTGGGATTTAATTAGTGTCTAATTAAACATTCTGAAACATAGGCCAAATACAACAAGACAAAACAGACCATCATTTGTCTTCAACGGAGCTTACACGTGCTCCAGGCATGGAAGAAGGGAAAGACATCGGTAAATGCCCAGGCTCCCAAGTCTCCCTACTGACCAGTCCTCTCCCCACCTGTTCGCCTCACTCCACCCCTATGAGGTGAGAATCGCCCTTGGCTCCATTTCGCAGATGCACAGACCAAGGCGGCAAGAGAGCACTGCCCCACGTGGGCCTAGGTGGCCCTGCCCTGCACAGGGCCCACTGAGGCACCCCTTCCAGAATCAGTGGACCCATTTCACAAAGAGCACAGAGACTGTCCCGGTGACTTTCTCCCTGTGGGGACCCCAGGCCCGCTGGGCAGTCTGGCCCTAAGTACCACCTCGCTGTCCCCAGAGCCAGGAAGGCCCTCTGTGGCTGATTGACAGGTCTGGCCCTCTGTGGTTGGAAGGAAAAGCTAGCAGTTTTCGTGTTTTATTTAATGAACAAGTAACTTCCTCATATGCTTTTTTTTTTTTATTTCCAGAAAGAACTTTGGTTCACTTTAGCTCCCTCCTGTCGTGTGTCTTGGGGAGGAAACGGACCTACCAGACTTTTCATGCTCAAGCTGCAGCGCACGCCTGCCTTTCTGCCAGGAGCTAGTAAGAACCTTGTCCTTCCTCCTCCTCTGTCCTGAGGGCGGCCTGGGGCGGGGAAGGGGACTGGGCTTGGGGAGGGGGT